AGATGCATTCCAAGTAAGGACCGGAGTCAGACAAGGCTGTTTACTCTCTCCCTTCCTTTTTCTCCTGGTGGTCGACTGGATTATGAAGACCTCAACATCTGAAGGAAAACACGGAATACAATGGACAGCTCAGAATCAATTAGACGATTTGGACTTCTCAGATGAACTAGCCCTCCTATCACGTACACACGAAGATGAAGACAGCCAGTGTAGCAGCAGTCTCTGCATCAGTAGGCCTCAGGATACACAAAGGGAAAACCAAAGTCCTCAAATTCAAAGCGAAAAACAGCAATCCAATCACTCTTGGTGGCGAAACTCTGGAAGATGTAGAGTCCTTCACATACATGGGAAGCATCATCGATGAACAAGGAGGATCCGATGCAGACGTAAAGGCGAGGATCGCCAAAGGAAGGGTCGCATTCCTACAATTGAAGAACATATGGAACTCAAAACAACTTTCAACCAATATCAAAGTGAGAATCTTCAATACGAACGTCAAGGCAGTTCTACTGTATGGAGCTGAAACTTGGAGAACTACAACAACCACCATCAAGGAGGTACAAGTATTTATAAATAGATGTCTACTCAAGATACTCAACATCCATTGGCCGGATACCATTAGCAACAGTATTCTCTGGGAGAGAAGAAATCAGCTTCCAGCTGAAGAAGAAATTAGGAAAAGACGATGGAAATGGATAGGACATACATTACGCAAATCGTCAAACTGCATCGCGAGGCAAGCCCTAACTTGGAATCCTGAAGGGAAGCGGAAAAGAGGAAGGCCAAAGAACACATTGCGTCAGATAATAGAAGCAGATATGAAAACGATGAATTACAACTCGACGGAGATAGAAAGGATTGACCAGGACAGGGTTGGGGTGAGAATGCTGGTGAGCGGCCTATGCTCCTTTACGAGGAGTAACAGGCGTAAGTAAGTAAGTATGTAAGATTTCTTCAAGTTGAAGATATGTTAACTGGAGTCCATTAAAACTCATTAACAAGATATTTGTGCAGTTTTGTAGAAACTAATAAGCTTCGCAAGTCGCAAATGCATTTACCCACATGTCAAAATTTGGGACAAAAACAGCAAATGACTGGAATCATTTTCTGAATTTTTGATACTTTTTGGCTTTTGATTAATTCTCGGCAATAATCGGATACACCCATTGGGTTGATCGTTGAATTTACTTCGATTTCATTCTATAAGATGCTCACAAGTATTCTTTCCTTTTTACGTCTTCTCAGTATTTGGTGCCTGACTGATCTTTTAAAATTGGACACACATTTTAGTACATTTCCAGATACCTTATAATAGTTCTGTTTTTATATTTATTTCTGAGACATAACTATATATCGTAATGATTGACAGATTCAGGTCTAAAATACTTCTGTTTTTTCACTTTGCGTGATAGTTTCATACAATACTTGACGAATTTAAAACATCTGATTTAATAATTACAACACAATACTATTTATTAGGTATCAAATAATAACTGGTCTGAATCTGTTTCATGAAAACTTTCTGTTTCAGATCGAATCTTAGAATTGTATTATTACACAAGTTTCATATGCATGATTTCTATATACCAGTAAAGGGTCCCGAAGATTGTTGAGTTTCAATCAATATCATGAATGGATGAATGTTAGACCACTACTGGAAACCTGGAAGCACTAGACGGCCGTTTTGTCCTAGTACGGAACTTCTCATCAGCACGCATCCACGTTCCCGCACGCCGGACTCGAACCCAGAGTCTTCGTCCTCACGAGCAAACATTTACACTTTAGACTACTGAGACAGCATCCAACGGTGTCAATGTGAATGCGCACTGCTGAGGAGTCCCATGCTAGGACAAAACGGCCATCTAATATTTCCAGGTCTTTAATGGTGTTCTAACATTCATTTATTCATGATACCAATTGAATCTCTATATACGTTAAAGATCAACTCAGCAAAAAAACCTCATTTATTCACTATTATCTAATGAAATAATTCATTCTATGATCATTAACATGTCAATGAATTAAGTTTCAGTTGTTCCTTTTGAAACCAGTTAACTAAAATCAACATCATATACTGTGTCTCTTTCCAACTTTCTATCTTTCACTTTCATTATATCACTGTGTAATATGATGCAAAATGTATTCAGTAATATTCGTTTCTACCGAGACATCAAATCATTTTCTATGAAGTTTAAACAATGAAAACAATAAAACAAATGTCACTTCTAATTATTATCATCGTACAATTGCTTTTACTTTTCAAATATGTCACTAAGACTGAAGTAATGGAATATGTATGTATGTATGTATGTACTGAGTTTTCAAGTGTTTTCTTTGATTTGTGTACAGTCTATCAAATGTGTTATCAATTTCTATACCAATGACGTAAATCTTTCCTACTTCATATTTTCTAACTATGGTCATTATCAACAATTAACCTCTTTTTCTTATTCATTTACATTATATTCTACTTTTATATATATATATCGAATATGAATAACAGTGATACATATTGTATGTATAACTCCGCCTGGAGTCCCTCCGGGGGCTACTGCCGGTCCCAAGCCCGGACAAAGGAGGAGGGTTGGACATGGGGTTAGCGACCCCATCCTGTCGGCGGCCTATGCTCCATTAGGAGTAACAGGCGGAAGTAGCTAAGTATATTGTATGTATGAAGTGGAATTGTTTTGGTTTTCATTTATAAGTTAGAGAAAATAAAAATAACTTTTTACGTTTTCCTTGTCCACAATTACTATTGAATCTATTCTATTCTTACCATTTTCACTTTGAAAGTATCTATTATGAGTAAACCGTGCAAATATTTCATCGGTTTCACAACAACACATTTTTGTAATTGTTAAGAAGTAGAAGTTGAAAATTGATAAGATTTCCTTAGTTTAACGTTTTTTTTAATCAGTGTCACATTTTACCGATAAACAACTTTACTCTTGATTGACACGAGATCGAATCCGCCAAGGAGCATCAGTTCCTTCAAGACTACAGGTACACCTTGTTGACAAGTGCCAAGTAGCACGAAATTCGGGTTCAGGGTTTCCTGTCGACTACCTTCAACCATCATCTAAATCTCAACTTGAATCATGATTATTCATACAGTGACATTAAATATGATCATATTTTAAACCACATGAACTAGAATCCATTTTTCAAGTAGAGAGGTACAAATGTATGCCAATGATAAATGGATCATCAAACGAAAAGAGAAGAAAGGAGCCATAATACAATCTGTCAATCATAATTCTAAATTATTACCTAATAATTTAGATCTTAATCAAGTCATAATATCTACAAATCTAACAAACATTCATATTTGCTCCCTCCCTCTCTCTCACTTCCTCCACTATGAAGTTGATATTCTATAAACATTAAACATCTCAAATTGTTCATTTGATCTCATTCTTATCATGTTTGTGATATCTAAAGAAATATTTTCAATATTCAATGTGTTCCTGATATCCTTTTTTTCTATACCCTTTAATCATTTATTATTTCATACGATTAGTTCATTATTGGAAATGTTGAACAAGACAGGTACTATATTTCACAATTTACTGAAATGAATAGTAACCTTCTGTGACGATGGACCACGGGTGTTATACGCGGTATATCAAGAAATCAACTTTCAAGATATAACACCTTCTTAACTGTTAAATGTTTAATTCTTCTGTCATCTTGACCATTCCCCCATAATGAGATCAACCTCAAAAAAGCAACATTATTAATAGTAGGAAAAGAATCACATAAAAATATATGATACTTCAGATTTCGTTAGGGTTATCCTTTTAACTTGTGGGAATGACAAATGATTGAAATTATTACTCCAAGAGTTATGTAAAGGGAAAGGATCTCCAAAATACACTTTGAATTGCATATCGTTGTTCAGTTTGTTAGGAAATGTCATAACTTATGATCTAGATTTAAGAGATATTTATCCTTAACTTTGGCTATGCCCACGGTGTTTGAATAAAAGTCAAACAGGAAATTATTTATTCTATCAGTACCTGTATGATTCGAACCCGTAAAGGAATTAATACATACTAACTTTAAAGTTTGCCCATGCAACACAACAGTCCCATCAACTATTTGCTTTTACTTGACAGATAATTAATCTTAATGTTTGGCTATTATTACATATGTTTTTCAGGTTTGAGAATGACTTCAATGTTTCAAAATCATGGAAAAAGGTTCCAGTCGATTCCATCCATACATCTACAAGTATATTCAGTACCCGTTCATCCACATACTATTCGCATCGTCTTGGTTTATACATCATTCATAAGTTCACAATATTTCAGAGAATGTTTCGATGCTTTCTCCGCTTCATTTATACATAATGACCAATAATTCTCATTTTGTCAGCTATCAGTATGAATTTATTTTCTTAATTTGAGCTCATCAGAATCATTGTCAATATTTTTGATAGTGTTTTGTTCTTTGAGCTGAATGGTTTGATCGTGGAGATTTCATCGTTCTTCTGAACGACATCATCACCAGCACAAACTTCAGATAGAAATGAAGTGTTCGAATTTCTCCATATGCGTTTCACAGCTTGTTCTGTACACCTCGACGTTGATTGCTTCTTATTGACCTTAAATTAGTCATTGTTTACTTCTTTATTTTGGTTGTGTCCTCCATTGGACGGTGGGGGGGGGGAGGAAACAAAACTTCATCAAAATCATCCAGCTGAGCTATAAATCTTCTCCACCATCTCACATTGTCCCAAGTAACCTGAAATTACACATAACACTGGATTTTCTAGTGGAGCTTTGACGATGATGTTATTGATAATGAAATGCTTAGTTACTGTTGTTATTTAAATTTGGAATGTAAACAAAAACGAAGCAAAATACCTTGTAATCAACAGTATTACACTTTGTGTTTTTCTTTGTTGTTGTTTAAAATACTTTATATCAACTCATAAAGAAAATAGTCATTAATAATTGACTATAATAAAGTAAACTGTCTGTGAATTAATTACTTACTATGAGTTGATAATTTATTAGTTTACTTTCTTGTGTTGACAACAAAGTTTCAAATAAATGTACATCACGTAGAAACATCTTTACAAGAAAAAAGAAAAAAATGTGACGAAAGAATAAAATTTCAAGTTAGATCATATGAACATTGAGAATTTTTCATCTAGAACATCATTCACATAATTAAACTTCCTAATGAAATATAATCCATCGTAATCATTTAGTCATTTTAACAACTAGACAGTCACAAACGATTAAATTAGATGACTGTCGTACTAAATCACAAATTGGCTGAAACTGAAAACATATACTCTCCTGTTGGTCTATATTTGACACACTGATATCAAGGCCTGAATGTCTTGAATTCGATGGTTAACAAAGTCATAAGTATGAAATATTGAGTAATCTTAAACGTGAACAAAACAGTTTTCCAATGTTTCCGGGTTCGTAAAGACTCAAATACTAATAAATATCTATGTAAAAATCTCTTCTTCACATTGAACTAATCTTTATAATCTTCTCAGTTAAATGTAGCATTCTTTATTGAAAATTATAAAAGGCATATTTCATTCTACTCTACCTTGAAGATGCTCTTAAAAGTTAAAAAATGTCGTAAAGTAAACGACCATAAATCAATCAACAAAAAAGGTGTTAAGATTTGCTACATCCATCATTCATCTTTTAGTTTAAACTTTAAAACTCTAATACCGAAACATCTAATACATAAATGAGTCTTTACTTTACATTTACTACTCACCGTTATCCGTTTAAATCAACAAACGGAAAAAATGAATAAAAACTGATGTTACGATGGGTAGATTTTCATTAATGTTTTCTGGATTTACGTTAGCAAAACTGATTTGTGCAACAATGATGGACATCTTTTCCATATGTATCTGCTGTACGGTGTTTTAAATCAACTGGATACTTCTTTTTGATTGAGATCATGAACCGATTGATGTTAGACCATCACAATTAGAAACTATCACCATTGGATGCCGGTTCAGTGGTCCAGTAGGTTAAGCGTTGGTGCGCGAGACCGAAGGCTCTGAGTTCGAATCCCGCGAGCGGGATCGTGGATGCGTACTGCTGAGGAGTACCAAAGTAGGACGAAACGGCCGTCCAGTGCTTCCAGGTTTTCAATTGTAGTGGTCTAACATCAATCGGTTCATGATCTTAATCAAAAACTTAGTTATCTCCACAACCGTTATACTAGTGAATACTTCTTTATTGATGATAATTTCTTGCAAAACAGTCAAAGCGATTACATCTATTTACAACTTCGTAGATAAACGTATTGTTGACTTTCCTCTTTTATGTACTTTAGCTAATCCTATTCAGACTTCCGGATCAACGCTCACGATTTCTTTAAATGAAACTAATTTTTTTGTGAAACTCCAACGAATACAAAGTTTGCGATACATTCTAGATCATGATAATAACTGATACTGTAGTGTATGCTGCTTACGTTGACAGACACAAGTAGTACACAACATCAACCTGAAGGAGAATGCCTGCAAGCAAAAGGTTGAGCAGATTGAAGTAAAGAGAAGAGAAAAAGAAAAAGATAGTAATCAAGATAATAACAAGAATGAACAAACAATGATGGTTATAAGAGAAAACTTAAAAAAGACGTACAAATGATATATTTAATGTATGATTTTCACATGATACAGAACCATTGTGTGGTTGTACATGAAACAATGAATCGAGCCTTCCCTCATTCAAGTGTTTATTCACTATAATACTTATTAAATCATACTTATGAATATGGAATAAAACACATTCTCATACTAATGAACACCATACACTAACTGATGATTTACTTCACAATGTTAAAATACTATATCTCCTGTAACTCCACTTTCAACAGTTGTTCATTAGCTTACCTTGTATACGATGATATTGTTTGGTTTTTAAAACTATACATTCACCATGTATTGAAGAATATAGATGAGAATAATATCAACAAATTATTTATAATTCATTATAATGTAAACTCTCTATTCTACTATTCTACAGACACCATTGTTGAAGACAAACATTATACATTTAACATTAATCAACATTAGAAGGTTTATTTAGATAAATCTGTTTCAATTCACTTGGTATTGTTTAGCTTGTATCTTCCCATTGTGGTTTAAGATTGCAATTGATCAGTCTGTATACTGTGCATATTGCCTCATATTGGCCAGCAGTGGCCAGCAGTTTGACACCTGTTTCGTCCTATTTGGGACTCGTCGTTAGCCGGATGTACCTGCATCTCAGAGAGTTGATGTTCACTCTGACACTCGAACCCAGTACCATTCGCTTCAAACGCCATTGCTTGTGCAATGGGGTGAATTTGAATTCTGTTTTAAGTCTTCACAAACAATGATGACGTGAAACACAATGTTAGTTATATTCAAAAATGTTTAGTTGCAGTAGGAAATACTTCAGCATTCTACAGTGTATCCATTCACAACGTTTTCTAATTCAAAAACAACGATATTTCATATGAAACAATCAAACGATCATATTCTAACAACTACTGACTGATAATTCCAAATAGATAGCTCAGAATGGTACAGATACAACTTCATTAAAAATTGCTCATATGTTTAACTATAACAAATGGTTTATAATAAAGTTCAACTTCTTCTTCAACCCACCTGGGAGTTTAAATTCTGTTGTAAAAGTTTTTGTTCATATGTCCACATTTGCATTAATTCTGACCAACCATTTTCTAATCTATCTAAACGTTGATCAAGTTGTATGTAATGTACATCTGTTTCACCAGCTGTAATACATCGTCCATAACTTATTAAATCACTATATTCATCTTTACGAGCTAAAATTTCTTCACCTAATTCTTTATGTATATCAATTTCAGCTTTGGCTTCTTCTACAGATAATGGTAATTGATGTGTTGCTACACGAATTTCAATATTACGTAACCATAATTGATTGTCATCTAAACTCTAAGTAAAAGAAAGAATTAACAATTTTGTTTATGTAATTTTACTTTAATTGTCATGTAAATTTAAAGAATATCCGGTATTCACACTAAATTAATCTTAATTTTAACTTGTAGGATAAACATTTTCAATGGTTACGCAACAACAACAACAACAACAACAAATGAATCAGTATTTTCTGCCTTTCATGTAAAACAACTGAAATTAATCTTCATCACATTATTGATCATTAAAACTAAGTATCAAAGGGGTTTTTAGTAATTTAACTGATTGAAATCATGAGTCAATTGATGTTAGACCACCGTTGGAAACCTGAAAGCACTGAACGGCCGTTTCGTCGTAGTATGGGACTCCTCATCAGTGCGCAACCACGATCACGCACCCCGCGAGATTCGAAGCCACAATCAACTTTTCAGGTCAATTATAAAGTTAACACAAATGCTGCTATTTATAAATTAAATGTTATATTTAACATTTATACTACTTAATCTAGTAATATATATCCAATATAATCTTTAAATGACGCAGTAATATCAGAATGGGTTTGGATTGGTTGAAGTTAGACATTAACACCGTTGGATGCCGGCTCAGTGGTCTAGTGCTTAAGTGCTCGCGCGCGAAGCCAGTAGGTCCTGGGTTCGAGCCCCGCGTGGTGAGGGATCGTGGATGCGCACTGCCGAGGAGTCCCATACTAGGACGAAACGGCCGTCCAGTGCTTCCAGGTTTTCAATGGTGGTCTAGCTTCAACTGACTCATGATTTCAATCTGCGACGCAGTAATAATTAATTATAATACAACATTGAATAGTTTTACATTAAGATATAAAGTAAACGGAAATTAAAACTGCATACATTCCTTTTTATTGTAATTGAGAGTTAGTTACTTTGTGCATATATCACTACTATCACTTCTATTCACATCTGATATTCATCTGCTATAAAATGAAGAAATGAATTGAGAAATTATAGTAACTATTCTATTTTATATATTCCCATTCAGACTTAAAATATAAAATTTGATCAAAAAGATATTTGCTTTCAGTTGAATGTTCATCATAACTCAACTTGAATACAAAGTTTTGCATCTAAACATAAAACAAAATATAACACTTCACAAGTGAGAAACAAATCAACGTAATAATAATAAAATGGAGTGAGAAAAGTGAATTTGTTGAGAAGTTCCACACAAGGATGAAACGGCCGTCCACCGCTTCCAGGTTTTAATTTACTATAATATTCACAAAACCTTTCTCTGATTATAAACATCATATGCTCATTAGTTACTGCCTTCAAGACGTACTTCCGGGAGTTCTAGTGAGAAGCAGCTACCAGTGGAGTTCAACCTAGTCTCTTGTGAGATATTAACTCACTGAAGACAATGGTGGACGGTGGTGCAATTTCGTGGATTGGTTGAAGTTAGACATTAACACCACTGGATGTCCGCTCAGTGATTTAGTGGTTAAGCGCTTGCACGTGAGATTGATAGATCCCGGGTTTGAATGTCGCGAGGCGGGATTGTGGATACGCACTGATGAGGATTCCCACACTGGGACGAAACGGTCAGCAGTGCACATCCACGATCCCACACCCCGCGGAAAAAGTATTTACTGACTTATTGACTTTCTAAAAATCATCTATACTTGAATTTATTCTTATCTCCGTTTGAAGAGAGAAAAATGATACATAGCGAATAGTATAGGGCATCATATTTATCGAATAGATCTTACCCCTAACTACTTTGAACATGCAATCTTTCTTATATAAATAATAATGTTGTTTTTTTTTAATATTCTTGCATAGATTAACAAAAACCCACATATTAATCATAAGATTGATTCAATAATTATCACCTGAAAAAATTGTTGCAGTTCAGCTGAAGCTAATAATTTGTCTTGACGACTTTTTAACTCTACTTGTAAAAGTTCCCATTCCTGATTCAACTCTAATCTTAAATGATTGACTTCTTTTGAAGCATACAATTCTCCGGAGATAAGGTATAAATCTCTTCTTTGTGGAGCTTCCTCTACTAGGGCTTTCAATAATCTTTCACCGTCTACATTAAGACTTTGTATTTCATCTTGTAATGCAATAAAATCTTTTTCCCAACCTAATAATCTTCTTTGTAATTGCATAACACTATTTAAATCTGTGCCTAAATCATCAGTTGAGATGAGTAATTCTCTTTTACGTATTATCCATTCTTTTGTACTTTGACATAAAGTATGGTATTTTGATAAATATGCAGCCAATTCAAATCGTTCATGACGTGCATTGAGTAAAAGCTTCAAACGTTGCCATTTCTTGTTAATATAATCTAATAATTTTGAATATTTTGGTTCGTCAACATTGTTGTCGTCAGTTTGTTCATCACTAAAGTTTTTCGATGTACGGAGGTAAAACATTTTATTTTCACGGTTTGTTTTAACAAATTCTTGAATACTTTCTTTATCCACACTAATTTCATATGGTTTATCTCTGGATTCACTACTATCCTCTTCCTCCTGTGCCTCTTCATTATCATTATCATCATCATCAACATCATCTTCATCGTCATTTACATAATCCTCGACTGATAAATTAAGTTTTATAGTAGACTGAATAAATTGAAGAATACTAAAATCCCTTTCTTTGTCAAGCTTCTTTAAATGTTCCGATAATCCTTCATGAAGCATTCCAATTTCACTTAATCTTAAATTGGCATGACTTATTAGTTCATGTTCAAATGTTTTAAAACGATAAGCTTGTATAGAGAGTTGTGATATAGCGTGAATAATTTCTTCCGTAACAGTAATAGGACATGGTATTGGTAAAGATTTTAAAAACTCCATTGAAGGATATATAACAGGATTGAATGTTAACAAAATTCTCTCCCTTTTTTTGAAAATAAAAACAGGAAAGAAGACATAGAAATGAAACAAAGATTTTTCAAGCAAAATAAAATAGTTCCTCCTAACTATTTCATTTCCTGAAGCTAAATGATCAGACTTCATGCTACTTAATATAGAACCTTTACCTCATTGACAAAGGCATTACATTGTACCAATCAACTCAAGTGTTAATATGTAGCTAGGTATGTGGATCAGAAAGGTCATACTCACTTTGAACTAATCTCTGGGATTACCCTGTCTCATCATCTAAAACTGAACGCAATTTGGTGAATAGCATCATTTAAAAATGCCAAAACTTCACCATAACAACCATTCATCACAATTGATTGATCACTGAGTGGCGATCAATGTCATGCTTGTCTAGTCCTTATTATTAGTGCAGATCGAATGCTATCGATCATGTTGCAATGTGGCCACCAGTCTAGGTGACTCGACACTGCGGGCACTATGTATTGAGATTTAGATGGTGGTTGGAGGTAGTCGACATTGATCACCACCCAGTGACCAATCAATTGTGATTACATCTCAGTCCTACAGGAGGTCAGTCGTAGATCGAATAGCTCAGTGGTAACGTCTCTGACTGTGAAGCTGGGTGACACGAGATCGAATCTGTCAGGGAGCACCAGTTCCCTCAAGATTACAGGTATACCTTGCTGACGAGTACGAAGTAGCACGAAACCCGGGTCTAGGGTTTCCTGTCGACTACTTCCAACCACCATCTAAACAAAACAAATGAAATGGCTCAAAAGAACCATTTGTATTAGAAAATGTTTCTGTGAGTTCAAAAGTGAGATACCTAATCTCTCATTTTATAATGATTCCAACAATCATTTTGATTATGCAAAATTTTGTCAGATAAATGATCGTTTCCCTATCGTCTTTACATTCTTCTGGTGAATATTTATTTTAACACCTCTTATTTATAAGTTAGTTTTACTTAACTGTTTTTCATTCCCCAGTTGGACTATCCAGTAACTAAGATTCTACTTTGTAAAGATTAGTTACATAACATGACTTAAAAATTTGGAAATTCAATTAACACATTAAACATAGAATCACTTGTATACAACTAGACACTGTTTTATCAGCTGAATGTCATATTCCATCACTAAGTGGACTTGACAGTTAAATTCATTTCTGACCAAATTATTAGAAAGACGAGATCAGATCCATAAGTAGCGATGAACAAATTTCGCGCCTACTAAATTTTAAGTTCTATATCAATCAAATAAGCTGGTTGTTTTTATTCTTAGGTACTATTGAATGTTCGATGATTTCTTTATCAATCTCAATTAAAAATGGGGGGGTGAGGGGTGGAATCAAACTTCTCAACTTAAAACTAAGCAAAATTAATATGGTTGATCAGTGTAAAAACAAGAATACATGTCAACTTACTTTTCTTCAATCCAATTTCCCATTGATACAATATTGTCAACAAGACGTAAAACATCACGTCGAAGTTCCAATTTATCCCTTATTTTTAAACTGTCTTCTAAGCAATCTATAAAATGCATATGAATAAAACTTAACCTATTTAATAAATGATGACCAATCATTGAAATATGTGGAAGTAATAAGATGGGTAATTCATGTTCTTCAGGGGAATTCATCGGAATTCTATAATTTTGTTCAGAATATTTATTATTCTCATTGCCTTCAATACTACTCATGATAGATTTTGTTGATGTAAACAACAATCCCTGTAGATTATTCTCAGACTCACTAGTAGCCAAAGTCATTTCACAATCAGTTTGTTGTAAATTCAATGTTTCATGCAATGTGGTTGTTCTTGGGAGTTGATTTTTGTCTATCTTCTCTTCTTTATCATCTTCAAGACTGGATATAGAAATAACAGAATCTATATCCTCTTGAAATGATGAACCAACTGTTCGTAGACCGGTTAGTGAAACTTCATCACTATGATCACTACTATAATTGTCTTCATTATTGATGTTTTGTTGTTTAGCCGACTGAAATGTTACTTCCACATGGGATTTTCTAGATCTGTAAAGATGATTTAATTTGGTTTTCAAGTGATGAATAACTGAATAATCATTTTCATTCAGAATAGATCTGGCTGGTAGAAAAGCATATACTTCATTTTGTAGTCGATTTAAATCAGTAGTAAATAACTTCAACTGTTCAATTATCTGAAAACGAAACAATCTAATTAGAATTTAATTTTAAATAGTGAAAAGTGTACTCAAATCAGAACATCAAGCACCATTTATTATGACCGGTTTGGGTGAATAAGTATTGAGGTTAGCATACGGTAATTCAGTAATGAAAGGATTGTTAAAATGAATAAAGAAACAAACTATTGAAGCAATCATCTTTACATAATTATATTTCTTGTCTAAGTTTAAGCATCTGTTTAAATGTTTTCTTTTGCCTATCTCATTTTATCCTATTTTACTCGCTCCGTTTACTTCAGTTGAATATACTACTACTACCACTACTACTACTACTACTACTACTACTACTACTACTACTACTACTACTACTACTACTACTACTACTACTACTACTACTACTACTACTACTACTACTACTACTACTACTACTACTACTACTACTACTACTACTACTACTACTACTACTACTACTACTACTACTACTACTACTACTACTACTACTACTACTACTACTACTACTACTACTACTACTACTACTACTACTACTACTACTACTACTACTACTACTACTACTACTACTACTACTACTACTACTACTACTACTACTACTACTACTACTACTACTACTACTACTACTACTACTACTACTACTACTACTACGACTACTACTGATACTGCGACTACTACTACTACTACTACTACTACTACTACTACTATGACGACGACGACATTTACTACTACGACTACTACTGATACTGCGACTACTACTACTACTACTACTACTACTACTACTACTACTACTACTACTACTACTATGACGACGACGACATTTACTACTACGACTACTACTGATACTGCGACTACTACTACTACTACTACTACTACTACTACTACTACTACTACTACTACTACTACTACTACTACTACTACTACTACTACTACTACTACTACTACTACTACTACTACTACTACTACTACTACTACTACTACTACTACTACTACTACTACTACTACTACTACTACTACTACGACTACTACTGATACTGCGACTACTACTACTACTACTACTACTACTACTACTACTATGACGACGACGACATTTACTACTACGACTACTACTGATACTGCGACTACTACTACTACTACTACTACTACTACTACTACTACTACTACTACTACTACTATGACGACGACGACATTTACTACTACGACTACTACTGATACTGCGACTACTACTACTACTACTACTACTACTACTAGCATTGTTTGTACCAGCATTTGATATCCCTAGAGAAATGTCATTGAGAAGAATGTGCAAAAATTATTTGAATGACTAATGTGCTCAATCATTCTGATTAACAAGCAAATGAAATAGAGTAAAGAAAAATAACAAACTAAATTAACAATATTCACAGTATTGTATAGTCCGTAAATGTAGCATTCACAACAACAAAAAATGTAATAAAGAATTATATAACTTTTACAATATAATCAATAATAATACTAAATTCAGCTAGTTGATCAAACAGAATTCCGATTACATTCATATTCTGTTCACTATATTCCCCCTAGAACTAGAAACTAATATTACATAACTCAAAATACTAACTACTCACTTGGACATTGAAATTGAATGTTTTTAGTTTTACATGAATGGATACCCCTATTCTAAAATAAAAACGTTATATAAACCTATTCATCAATTATCTGAGCCAATATTAAATTTACAGTATCTATGTATCATTGAACTCAATGAATTATGAATAATTCATTTCAGTATATTAGATATCTGTGTAGGGCCCCCGAATTCCCGGGCACTGCTGAGAGTGGGGAAAGTCCACTCTCCCTCTCCGAATGCTCACACATGGCCACGCATACATAGCCTCTGCCAGGGAAGTTCTACTCACTACCTTCTCGTGGCCATAGTGTTGTTTACGAAAATGAGAGGACGAAAAGCGAATGTCCAGCGCTTTAACCGGATTCCAAACCAATGGTGCACATGGGCTCCACGATCCTGAGGGAACTAATGGCGTATGAACCAATTGTCGGTCACCGGTTACCATGGGACTTCATCTCCTTACGATGCTCCACTGCCTTGTGGATCAGACCTTCAGGTCGAAGGCTCAGGGAGTGGCCCCCTAAGATAACCACCTGCTTCGGTTTGGGCACCCGGGCAGTATCACAGCCCACCTTTTGTCATGAATGTACTTGAAGAAAAATATTTAGAAATGGGTATAAAACGTTTTTTTATTTAATGATTATTTTTTGATTAAGATAAACAATTTCCGATGACCTATTGATTCCGCTTCTTATGAACTTTTAAATTATCACAGAAGTTCTATTGTTTTTCGAAGCCATAAGAACTAGGTCTAAGTTATGATCAGACATTGATATTATTGAAATCTTCTTGAAGTGATTAAAACATTCACCTTTAAATTTAATTCTTTCCAACATATATATATATATATATATATATATATATATATATATATATATATATATATATATATATATCATAGTCAAATTTTCGTACTGGATTGAACGATATAATCTTGTTATAAGTGCACTTTTCATTGTCAAATATTAATCCAATTAATGGTATCTGGTAATTCACAGTTATATAATATACCCTTGTGAGCCAGGGTAATTTTACATTGGTTTTCAGGAGAACCAGACACCATCCAGACTTTCACGTGACAACCCAAACAGTATAGCTCAACTACGTTTAGTAGGGGAACCAGACAACGTATAGGCATAAACGCTACAATCTAAATAGTACAGCTCAATCCTATGGCGCAACCACACAGGTACCAAGTACCCTGATGGACCAGATATCTAGTAATAGGTAAGATTTATTATACAATTTTGTTTTAGATTCATTAAAACATAAAATAAAATGATATTTCTAGTTTCGTTGCTTATTAAAGACAAAACAAATAAAATGTCACTATCAAATTTAATGAACATTCATTTCAACATGGTCACTATAGGCTTGTTACTTACATGATCCATTTGCCTTAATGTTGAATTAATGACAATTTCTTTATTAATTGTTATAGCTTTTTGTTCTTTCAATGTATTCGTAATTGTTGTTGATTTCATTCTCGTATTATACATATCAATAACTTCATTCTGTGTTGTTTTATCTCGAACAGGTTCAAGACAACAGTCGGCAAGCATTGATATCAATTGAACACCATTATATGTTTCACATATTCTTAAATTAGTTTCTTCAATTTTAGTATTGAGTATAATTAAGCTATATAATCCATTTAAATATTGATGATGTCTTGCTAGTTTAACATTTATGTCTTCAATTGCAATCAGCAGTTTACTCCATTGTCTCTGTAACAATGTAACGAATTCAACTACTTTTGCACAATGTTCTTTATGTTGAATATTCTGATCGTTTGTACATGTTGAATTATCCAATGGAAAATTGGATAGATGCATATTACCTAAAGATAATATAATATCTTCATATATTCGTATTAGTGAGCATTTTTTCAAGTCCCCGATGATTTCATTTCCATGATATTCTTCAGTTTCATTTGATTTGTATTCATCAAGATGTATCTTATTTAAAATACTCATTAGAGAAATATCATTCATGGTTAGTTGGTTGAAATTCATAGGGTTCAACTTAGTTGTAATTTGATGTAATTCTTCATACAATGTTTGATTTGATGAAGAAAAATGATGGTCATAATAATTAATTCCGTATCTTAACTGAAGTTCCTTATTAAGTAGATGTAATCTACTTTGCAAATGATGAGTCTGTACACCAACCTGACCGAAATTTTCAACCAGTTCCTCTTTAAGAAATTCAAGGGGTTTAATTGAATCATTTTGATCCTAAGTAAATATGAAGAGGAAAGAAAAACTGTACATTTAGTACTTTCAAAGGAAGAATTCTTACTAGTTACAAAACTTAGATAAACATCAACTTCACTTGGTATTGTTTACTTGAATCTTCCCATTGATGAATAGGACTGCAATTGATCATTGTTTTATTGACATATGTGATTCTTGTGCAGATTGCCTCGGCATTACCTTAATTCACAAGCATTATAAGTAAAGATGGATAGAGGCTAGAATTGGAAACCATGACGCGTGTTTTTTCCTATTCGGGACTCGTCAGCTGGGTGTATCTGCATCACAGAGTTGATGTTCGCTCTGGGATTCGAACCCCGTACCGTTCGTTTCAAACGCTATCGTGTTATCTACTTAGCCGCTCGTTTGTACAATTAAATACACTTGGTATTGTTTATTTGATTCTAGAATCCGGTTTATTTCTGCAAAACACTGGAAGCAAACTTTAAGCACTCATTGAATGTCATTTACAATTGTTTATATGCTTCAAATGCTGCATAAGTTACACAAGTCCCACAAGATAGTTTGTATGATGTGAGAATTTCCATCTAGTCAAGTTTTATGTGAATCATATAACTCTCATTTCATAACGGTTTACTCTCCATCATTGACTTTGGCGACATGATGTTTAGACTAAACTTGCAATTTCAATGTATATCCATAGAAGGTAATTAATAGTTATTGAAAAGAACATTGTTTATTCATATATTCGTTTTTTAAATCCACATTAACCAACATCCGTACGTTTATGAAAATGGCTTTTTAGTCATATGAAGTCATTCTGTTGAATAAAGTATTATTATCCTTATATGATCACAGTTAAAACTTACTTATAACATTAAACCTCACTGAATTCTAACAAACAAACTGAATTTCGCTTTCAGTAACTTTTCATCGCAGTTAGTGCGTTGCTCAAAAGCATAATATCTGGAAGTAGCATATTGTTGCTCATATTATGTTCTTCGTTAATGACTCAAGGGGGGTCTTTAAACCTATCACTGTTTTTGACAATTAATAACCTATTAGTGGATGGAACGACTATGAAATAAAGTCCATGTGTTATTAGAATAACAGATTTGTGGATATTATCCGATTATGAAATGGTGAACGTTACGGTTTGATGTTTCTTATATAATCATCGAGACAGTTATCAATTACGGTTCTGGAAAATCATCCCGTAATATAACGAATCAGCACTAAATAGGAATGTCCGCCGATGGAAAATCAGCTCATTAATTTAAAGTGTTAAACTGAAGGTCTATTTGGCTATTGTCTGATTGTTGGTGAATATCTCAGTCCATACTGTTTATTAATCCCAAAATAGGATAGAGTGTGTCCGATCCTTCCTAGTGCTCAATGGTTATTTAGTCAAAGTCAGTTTGTGAGGTTAACTATCTTTAACTGAGTCCACCCTCTCAGGTCACTAAAACCACCTCCAATCCAATTTCCTTCTCAGATACCTCCAGAAGAACCCCTCCATGGTGTGGGCAACCGTGACGTGATAACCTCTCTCATACCTCTAACAGCACTCAAGACCACTGTATTCGTAATGCACCTCCCTCTTCAGTTCCTATTATTCCTCCTATATCGACTTTCAACTCCAAATTTCCTCTTTTGGCTTCCTCCTCAAGTATTACCATAGCCAACGATTCTAGTGTGCAAAACACTGTCCCAGGTCTACTGAAACCTCACTCCAAACTACACGTTGGAGCCTTCAACGTACGCACCCTATGTCAAATCGGCCAACAAGTTTCCATGGCTAAAGCCCTAGAATCTCGTGACACTGATGTATGCTGTGTCTCCGAAACACGTAAACTGGATCCTAGTGTGGTCATTCACTTGATCTCATCTTGCCGAAACGGAGGGCCGACAAGATAAACCCTCCGCGTATCTGACGACCCGATTGCTAGTTTTCGTGGACTGGCAGGTGTAGGCGTAGCACTGTGTACGAGAGTAGAACAAGCACTATTATAATGGATCCCCCTTAACAGTCTATTTGCTGTTCGGCTGAACTTCTTCAGAAAGCTAAACTTTCAGACATAGTACTCATAGCAGGTGACTTTAATGCCCAAGTAGTTAGCTTAAACCTAACGAAAAGACGTTTAAGTGGGCAATTCGGTATTTCGACTCAGCGAACAGATAATGGTGATTGTCTGCTGCAACTATGCTCAGATGGTCGTTTATATTTAGCAAACACAAATTTTAAGCATAAGGAGAGACATCGTCTAAAATGGCGACCCCCTACACCAAACCAACGTTGAATTGAAATAGACCATATTGCCATCAGTCATCGTTGGAGAGGGTCGATACGAAATTGTCGCTCATTCTGGAGTACCTGCTTGGACTCCGACCACGCCCTAATACGGACACGCATCTGCCTGCGCCTCACTGGACGCAAAAAAGCCACATTAAAGAGACCCGTTAGAACTTAGTTGAGTAACGAGAAAACCAAAAGTAGGTTCCAGGAACAACTGAGGTCACAATCAGGTAGTTCTGAAAACGAGACTGACCCAGATGTTGCTTGGAAAGATATACAAACAGCTGTGGAAACAGCAGTGACATCCATTAGTGATTTAAACCAAAAAGTCACGAAAAGCCAGTGGATTTCCCCACGGTCAGTTGCACTAGAGGATTCTCGTAGACTCATCCCATCAGGCTCCGAACACGATGAAGAGCGAAAGAAAATCAGATCTAGGTCAAGAAAAAGTCTAAGAAACGACCGTGAGCAGTGGTGGGCAATGGAAGCAAAAGAGATGAAAAAGGTGCTGGCTGTAGGTAACACAAGATCTCTTCAGACTAGTAAAAGGAACTGCTGTGAGACGATCTCGAAAAAAGACGACACTCTCATCTGCTCCCAGTTCAGACGTTTAGAACGATGGGCCGAACACTTAAAGGAGCAGTTCAGCTGGCCTTCATCTACTCTACAACTACCCACCATTCCCAGACATACTGAATGGAACATTGAAGTAGGTCCCCCAACTATTGCTGAAGTTCAATTAGCTACAGTTAATCTGGAACGAGGAAGGGCAGCTGGTCCAGATGGATTGGCTCCAGAGGCCTTTAAGTATGATGGTCCAATTTGAGCAATTATGTTGACTAATAGTTTAGCTAAAATCTGGGAGTTAGACATAATTCCATCTGACCGGTCGCAATCACTGATTGTCCCAATATATAAGAAGGGATCAAAATCATCCAGTGATAACCGTAGAGGGATTAGTTTGACCAATATAGCATCCAACATAATAGCCTCAACAATTATCGAGTGGTTAACAAAGACTCGTGAACTACAAACACTAGAAAATCAGGCTGGCTTTAGATCTGGTCATGACTACATCGACCACATATTCACTATTCGCCAGGTTCTAGAACTCAGGCAAGCTTATCGGCGTCCGACAATCATGGTTCTTTTTTTTACGTAAAAGCAGTAGTTGATTCTGTTGGCCGAGAGGTTCTGTGGCAGTGTCTGTTATTGAAAGGCGTGCCTCAGAAGTACATGAACCTTGTGAAGGCTCATTACTCGAACACTACTACACGAGTCAGAGATTATGACGAACAGTCATCTGTTTTTGCAACCTCAAATGGTGTCCGTCAAGGCTGTCCACTTTCTCCATTTTTGTTTAACTTCATCATAGACATACTGATGGGAATAATATTCTCGTTGACTGAATTCATGGGTATTGATCTCCTTCCAGGAGGTCCATTTATCGAATACGCAGATGACATAGTCCTGTTTGGTGAAGACGCTGATAAAATGCAGAGTCTTTTGGTAGCACTAAGCAGAATGTTTGGAATGCGCTTCTCCCTCTCTAAATGCAAATTGTTGCTTCAGGACTGGTCTGCGTCAACACCTGAACTAAGGATAGGGAGTGAAGTAGTCGAACGCTTTGAAAACTTCACTTATCTTGGAAGTCTGATCAGCCCTAATGGGTTGGTGTCTGATGAGATCTCAGCACGGATTCGAAAACCCCGTTTGGCTTTTGCCCATAGCGAGAGCGAGATATCCGTTTATGAATAAAAGGACGAGTATACTGCGCGGCAGTTCATTCTGTTTTACTTTACGACTGCGAAACGTGTCCATTAAGAAATGAATATATTCAGAAGCTACTAGTATGTAACCATAGATGCCTTGGAAATATTGCTGGCGTCTGCTGGGACCATCGAGTAAGTAATAGTGAGGTTAGACACAGGGTATTAAGGAATGATGGGAAATCAGTTGATAAGGTTGTGAATCTTCATAGACTGAGGTAATTGCACCATGTGTTACTTATGCCTGAACACCGATTACCACGACGTGCAATGCTGACTAGTGTTGAAGATGGTTGGAAGAAAGTTAGGGGCGGCCAAACCAAAATGTGGCATCAGTGCTTGAACAGACTAACATTTGGTCTGAGCCATGTTGGCAGATGCAGACTATTTGGTTGGGGTCCACGTAACTATCGTAACCAATGGTTGGAGACTCTTGGTGACATGGCTCAGAATCAATCGGAATGGCGTAGTTGTATACACTCTCTGTCTTCTCTTAAACTATGAGATTAAAATTATTTCATATCTTTCTTCGTTATATGCAATCTTTGTTTTATATATTACAACCATTGAGTTAACTACCATGAATCAGGTGTTCGTCTTGCTATGCTAACGAGGTATGGCAACTTGTACCGATGTATATATGTGCTTGATCCTACATTGTAGCTGACTGAATGACCAAAGTTAACGAAGTATTGTATCACCTGACTCATCAAAAACTGTACATTTAACTAAATAAGTTCTATATATATATAGCTGAAAAATTCCCATTATATTAAAACACAATGTTGTGAACGAAGAATATTCTTTTCAATGAATTTATCAGCTTCTAAAAATATAAATCTAAATTAATAATCCATAAAGTTTATCAGATTTAAGGCAGAGCACTTCATTTAAAAATTTTATATGTGAATTAAGGATTGTTGTTTGCCATATAAAACCAAATCAAATCGTTAATGTTGGGGTTGCTAATATGAAGTTAGATGGTGTTTGGAGGTAGTCGACAGGAAACCCTGCACCAGGGTCTCGCGCTACTTGGCACTCTTCATCAAGGTGTACCTGTAATCTTGAGGGAACTGGTGCTCCCTGGCGGATTCGATCTCGTGTCACCCAGCTTCACAATCAGAGGTATTATCACTGAAGTATCCGAGCAGCTCGGACTATAGGTACACCTTTCTGACAAGTGCCAAGTAGCACAAAACCCGGGTCCAGCGTTTCCTGTTGACTACCTCCAACTACCATCTAAATATCAATACATAGTGCCCGCAGTGTCGAGTCACCTAGACTGGTGGCCACATTGCAACATGGTCGATAGCATTCGATCTGTACTAATAAGGACTGGACATGTATGACATTGATCGCCACCCAGTGATCAATCAATTGTGACTAATATGAAGTTGTTAACTTGAATTAGTTTATAAGCGAAATGAAATTGTGAGATAAATGATGATCAGAAGAAATATGGTCAACATGGGGTGAGAGAGAGAGAATAGTGTAATTGCAAATCAGAAATTACGTAATCTATAGATTAATATGAATTAGGTCAGATATAGTAGATTTAGGGGTGGATACTGAATGAATTCCTCAAAAAGGTTAACAAGTGTAATAATAATAATAATGGTAAAGGTGATAATAAAAAGATAAGTGTGGGACCTAAATATGAACATTAATCAAATGAAGTCACCATATTATAAAATTGATTATTAACTAGTTGACCCCGAAGTTGGCCAAAGTAAAAGGAGCAACTAATTTGATTTAATATTCTTGATTCGCATATTACAATTTCCAAATGATTTATTCTACCTTAAGTCTGGCAAATTTTATGGATTATGAATTTGGATTTATAATTTGTAGAATCAGTTAGACGATTTGGACTCCTCAGATGACCTAGCCCTCCTCTCACATACACATGAACAAATGCAGATGAAGACAGCCAGTGTGGCAGCAGTCTCTGCATCAGTAGACCTCATCATACTCAAGGGGAAAACCGAGGTCGTCAAATTGGAAACGAAGAACAGCAATCCAATCACTCTTGATGGTAAAACTCTGGAAGATGTAGAATCCTTCACATACATGGGAAGCATCGTCGATGAACAAGGTGGCTCAGATGCAGATGTAAAGGTGAGGATTGACAAAGCAAAGGTTGCATTCCTACAGTTGAAGAACATATGGAACTCAAAACAACTTTCAACCAATATCAAAGTCACGATCTTCAATACCAACGTCAAGGCAGTTCTACTGTACGGAGCTGAAATTTGGAGAACTACAACAACCACAATCAAGGAGGTACAAGTATTTATAAATAGCTGTCTACTCAAGATACTCAACATCCATTGGCCGGATAACATCAGCAATAGCCTTCTCTGGGAGGGAACAAATCAGCTTCCAGCTGAAGAAGAAATTAGGAAAAGACGATGGAAATGGATAGGACATACATTACGCAAACCGTCGAACTGCATCACGAGGCAAGCTGTAATTTGGAATCCTGAAAGAAAGCGGAAAAGAGGAAGGTCAAAGAACACATTACATCGGGAAATAGAAGTAAATATGGAAAGGATGAATAACAACTGGAAAGAGTTGGAAAGGATTGCTTGAGACATGGTTGGAGTGAGAATGCTGGTGAGCGGCCTATGCTTCTTCACGAGAAGTAACAGGCGTAAATAAGTACGTAATTGTAGAATCTGATAAGAAATTCATTGAAAAGAATATTCTTCATTCATATCATTGTGTTATATACATATATATCAATGAATAAAAAGTTCATTATCATCATCATTTCAACAACAATCAACTAACTTTTATCCATAATAATTCTTCATTCATTTCATTCAATAAACGATATACATTTTTTATTATTGTATTCCATTGATTTATATCTAATAAAATCTTTTCAAGATTTGTATGATACCATTGAATAGATTCTAAACTATGTCTAATATTGATTTGTAAATATGATCTTGATTGATGATTATTATCATCATCATCATCATCATCATCATCATCATCAAGATCTTTCTCTTCAGAATGATCTATTCTATTCAATAAAGTTTTTACAGATTCAATCCATATCATCAATTGATTGATATCGATTTGTAATTGATCTATATAGGTATCCACTAAATGGATTTGATTTTCTTTGATTAATTGATTGATTTGTTTATATTGATTATTAATGATCTCAAACTGATTATTGAATTGTAATAAATAATCTAACCATTCTTGATAGAATTTTAAATTATTTTCACGATGATATAATTTCATTTGTAATCGATTATTGATTATTAATAAATGATTCCATTGATTTTGATATTTATCCCATTGTAATTGAGGCATAGATGATCCTGTGAACCTTTGTAATAATTCATTTAATTTATATAATTTTAAATGAATATACGTTTCTGTATCATTCATAAAAGCGGAATGTTTCTGTTGTGATAATGTAATTTGATGACGAGTAATGATTAAATGATGAAGTGGAAATTCCTGCTGAAATTCCTGGGAGTGTTCATGAGTAGTAGTAGTAGTAGTAGTAGTTAACTGAATCAAATATACTTTAAATAGATTCATTTGTTCTAATAATTTCATATCTTCAGTTTGTGTTGCTAAATTAATAATTTGTATATTCTCTTGTAACCAATTTAAGCATAATTCAATTTTACGTTCATATTTTATGCCTAATAGACTTACATTTTCCTGGAATTACAAAAACAAAACAAAAAAAAGCATTGAAAGTTGTTAAACGATCATGGATCACAATCTATCAGTCACTTATAGGCATATGTGTATCCTGTGTAGATTGTCACACGATATTCCCATCGAGTCACAAGCATTTTTAGGTACATTCAATCAAAAGATACCTAATACAACAGTATGTCATAAATGTGTAGAATAGGTGAAATATAGATAGTTGTGAAATCCAAGACGTGTGTACCGTTCCAGTTTGGACACGTTCATCTCTGTTATGGACTACATTCTGCTGAGAATATTCAATAAAGTAGTGTATATATTTCTGAGAGAAACATTTTCTCGCGAAACTGTATTATGTTAACCTAGAAATTTTGCTTTGTTCGAGATCTTCGTCATCGTAATAATGTCAGTTCAAGTACGATCTAAAACCAAAGACAAATAACTAATTCGCTCTATCATGAAATTATTTATCTTGAGGCATTGGTAGAAGTAAACATGAATTTCAGTAAGACCTTCATTAAACAATCTCGTTTCCAGATTTAGATTTTGAAGTGGTCAATACATTTTGATTAGTTTGTAAGTGAAGATATGTGATTAATAATACTTGACCTTTCTATGTGATAAAAGTTTAGTTATCAAGCTTGAAATTACAAGATATAAACATTCTTTGGTTCTAACAGTATGATAGAGCTACTTAACGCTTTTATTGTCCAATAATGAGATTGTCTTTGGTTCCTATTATCATAAATGTCGTCATAGAAACGCCATTATCCACTGAAAACTTCATCTAAACGATGCAGTTATTGTCCATGAATTTGCTTTGAATTCATGGTCATCGTTGTTCAAAATCTAGTTGAAAACACCATGTAGTTAGCTGATATAAGCTCCGATAATACTATCCAAAATAGTTTCAGACTAACCAAAGGTGTTAATACTGTGATTGACGAATGTATTTTAGAAACAAGTTACTTTTTAAAATGAAAAAAAGTGAAATACTAAGTGGTTCTACCTGGTTATATAACTCGATCGAAATTAGATTTCAGAAATTATTTGATTTACTTTCTCCAGAAGCATTGAAAATAAACTTTGTAGAAGAATATAGGACTATTTAAATGCCAACAGCGACAGTCAATACGATGACTGAACTTCATGATTAGTGTTAAATACGTTACTGAGAACCTAGTATATCAGTTGAGAAGCTATCTAGCCAAATGATTAGATGTTCATCAGCATATATTAAACTGTAACGTACACTAATCATCTCTCATTTTAATAAGCTGCTGTATAACTCCGGTACTATAGCAGTGTATTTAATGTCTACAAGCCGAATAGCTCAATCACTAAGACTTCACCTACCCCCTCAAAACAACTGATAAATTGAAAAATCTCTGTACATATCTGGAAACGCGTACACAGTATTTGTACAGTTACTAATAGATCACATTTTAGTGATTGTTTTATGAACAATTTTTATAACCTGGTAGTTTAACGGATTAGGTATATAACAGTATAGTCGTTGGCTTAATCATTACTATTTTGAAACTTGATATTCGATATGTAATGAATGGTTTACAGCACATTCATTCGATGACCCACAAAATCTCCTTGATTAATACAAATTATATGACAGAAACTTGGTAATACAAAGTAAAAATTACCTTTGAATCTGTCCATGATTCATTTGTATACATTGAAAGTAAAAATGAATTTACGTTGAACTTACTCGGCGGATTAATTCATCTACAATAGCCAAATGACAATTATGTTCAACTGTGATTAAACATTTCCAAGATTCTTCTAAGTCATTAAGGCTGAAACCATTTGGCGGTTTGAATAATCGATGTGATTCAGCCAATTGACTAGTGTGAATTTCAGTTAACAGGGTCTATTGAAGTTTGTTTTTTTTTAGAAAAAGATTATAAAAAACATTCTTAATGTAAATTTTAAGTTAGAACATACATTAGTGAACAATACTGTTTCAATTAGATTTTCATTGGGTTTTACTCTAATATACAGTAATATCTATATGCAGACAAGATAAACATTGAATTGAACAAGATAGTTTGTGAGCTAATAATAAGAATGAAGTGGACTATGTAACTAACTGTTATAAGCAATAAATGCGGATTGATAGGAAGATGAAAGGTGCACTAACAATAATACGAATAACAACAGTTCTAATAACTTCGAAAGTAGATCAAAACTTGTGTAAATAAACTTTCTAAAATAATCATCATCAAAAATTGCGTAATAAGAAGTACGAGGATAATTAGTCAGACTAAACATAATGAGTGAGGAGAACTGAACATCATGACAAAAAATCCAAAACAAGGTTCATTCATCTATTATGTCTTATCGTATCATGAAGAAGACAGGGGTACCACAGATTGTTTTTGAATGCAAAGACTAAAGTTGTAGACATCAATTCACCATGTAATTTACTATGAATAGGTAATAAGATCAAGTTTCATGAAAATTGGAACGTTTCGATACATTACTCTGAATGCTTTCGCTCCATTCGATTCACGACTACCATCAACAGAATATGATGAAACGAAGATGTAAATTGATTTATTCTTCTCTCTTCCAAATCTAAGAAGGGTGGCACTCGCTAATACATGTATGCATACAAATATCACTGCATGTGAGAATCAAGCCTGATGGAAATTTTATTGAATACACTATTATTCACGTAAACGCGTTGTTCTAATTCCAACCATGGTAATGTATGTGTCTGCATGTAAATGTTTCCTTCAGAACTTCTTGTTAAACTGTCACATTCAGATTGAGACACGAAGAGAATAAAAACATCTACCTGAATTCGAATGACTCTTATACCATTGCTGACCTGATTATAAAACTCACGTCTTTTGTTATCAATCTAAGTGTAAGCTTTTCTTTTAAAGGTTAAAAATTCAATACAACAGGGATTGTATGGAGATAGGCAACTATTTAAAACAAAGAATCCCTATGGAACTTTCTCATTCTAGTATGAGCCTTTATAAAAGATCAAACATAAGACTTACAGACCAAGAGAACCTGAATGTTTTCTCACACTTAATCAAATGAAGAAAGAACTCATATTCGTCTGTTACTATTATCATTTTTGCTTTGTCAACAAATTCCAATGTTATTCTTAGGCAGATCGTACTTTTAATAAGATATGATGACGAATCATTCAAGTTAGTAAATTAACTCCCTTTATCTAATATTCATAAAGTGGCGGAACTTCGTAGGGTTTGAAATGTTAAAAAAGGTCCTTACTGAAAATCGTTAACTGGGTCTTCGTTTAAGTATCCAATCACAATAGACAAATGGGTATTAACTGGGTACATAAAGTACCAAGTATATTTAAGTTCAAAACAAACAGTGCACTCACTTCTAATTGGACTAGTTCAGACATTTTTTCTGCTTTTTCTTTTCGGCGCCAAATCATTAAATTCTGTAATTCTTGCTTTACATCCAATTCATTTCTAATGTGATTCGATTCTTGTAACTTAATTAGCAACTGGTTAATCTGCTTAATATTTACATTGGACCATTTAAGCCATCGTTTTGCTTGTTTAATGTAATCAAATACTTTGTGACTTATAATTAAGCTGTGTTGAATCACTTTACTAACACGTTCCGATGATAATTTTGTATTATGTGAACTGGTTAAATAACGATACCATGTCGCAACAACAGTCATTACACAACGTTCTTCTAGCCAACATGTTTGAGTAAAATCTTTTGATTCGATGAGTATTGGTATGCCTAAATGTAGATATGCTCGTTGAAAGATAATTTCTAGCCGTACTTGTAAACTATCAATATGACGTATTCGTTCATAATCAATCAAATCTGGATAATGTCGATGTAGTAAAGCTGCAAATGCTAAACTGTCTCGCCAACTTTTTGTAAAATCAACAACTTCAACCTTAAAAATTGAGGAATCAATTGCTTTATAACGATATTACAAATACATATACAAAAGACTGTAAACAATACTAAAAATAAGATAAATACACCCATAAACACCCTCTTCGAACAGTACTAGCCTAGAACCTTGAACATTTTTGATTTTAATAACAGCAGCCAAGACTCATGAATCGAACTACTCTACCAAGCGGTAGCTGACGAAGGTTTTAGGACATCTCGTAAAAGATGCGGAGCATTAAATTAACTAAATTCTCAATAGTTTTTGATACTGGACAGGATATATTAACTCAGAAGTGGAATACTGTAAATAAGTAGCTACATCTTCTTAACAAAATTATAGTTAACGGCTGACTAAAGTTTGAAGACCTGTCACTACAGTAAGCCCTAAAGTATCTAAGTTCTTATATAAGCATCGACTAATTTAATAAAATCTATTCCTCTAACCGTACAGAGAAGTGAAAGTTACTCAACCATAATCTTAGAATCAATTATTAACGATATTATATTTTAGATGTCAGTTTTATTTTCTGTCATATTGGGAAGATGAGCTTGCTCTGGCACATAAAAAATATTCATGTGCACTAAACCACCAACAACATCCAGCTGACTTTTCCTAAACTCTTCAAAGAGTGGTACTCTTTGTTACAATAAGTAATAACTTCTTTAGCCATATTTTGAAAATGGAAGGATTAATTTGGGAATCCTCATCATTAGAGCTAACACAGGTCAATTAAAACTTGAAAACATTTGAGATTCATGTGCGATATTTTAAGTAGCTCGCAAGTAGTTTTATAGAAATATTATCCCACAATATGATTTGATGGAGCAGTATTGTTAGTCAAGCTTATGATATTCATGTATGCGAAATTGAGTTCCTTTTGTAAGCTTTAAATCCAAGAGTAACTTTTATTCAATTATAGACAATAAAAATAACGATACGGATATGTTTCATTTCCTGTTCTCATACTAAACAATAACACAATATGGGAACATTAACAAAATTATAAAAAAGTTGAATTAACGAGAACAAACATCGCGAAATAAGTGTACAAAATGTAGTTCAGAAGGAATATATTAGACTGACGTATTCAATTCTAGCTATACGAACACCAACATGGGAAGAAAAACAGTTGCTGTTTCACTGAGTAGTAAAGGAAGATATCTTTAGTTTACTATATGCGATATCTGAATTCTACACGGGTCATTTTTTCAGCAAGGTGATAAATTCTAATAACTGTCAGCCTTCAAAACCAATAACTTTACATATTGTTACAATTTATCTATGGCTTTTATGCCAGAACATTCTTGTTCTCACTAAAAGGAACAACAAGTAATTTTGTAATGACGTGTGATACTGATTGATGTGATTACTTAATCATGATTCGAGATACCTAGTGAACTTTTCCAGTCAGCTTGTTCTGATAATGAGTAACTGGTAGTGCAGTTCAAAGACAGAACACTGAAATTATCCTAGATTACAAAATAATTATTTTTCAATATGATTCAATATTTTGATAATTTTCGTTCCATCATAACACCATCCACTAAAACAAAATCAGGACTTGACACACATGACATTGATCGCCACCCAGTGATCAATCAGTTGTGATTACATCTCAGTCCTACATGAGGTCGGTCTCAGGCCCGGATAGCTCAGTGGTAACGTCTCTGACTGTGAAGCTGGGTGACACGAGATCGAATCCGCTAGGGAGCACCAGTTCCCTCAAGATTACAGGTACACCTTGCTGATGAGTGCCAAATAGCACGAAACCCGGGTCCAGGGTTTCCTGTCGACTACCTCCAACCACCATCTAATCTCAATATATAGTGCATGCAGTGTCGAGTCACCTAGACTGGTGGCCACATTGCATCATGATCGATAGCATTCGATCTGCACTAAATAAGGACTGGACACACATGACATTGATCATCACCCAGTGGTCAGTCAATTATGAAAACTCATTTGTGCATGATTTGAATGAAAAAGAAATACCTAATTAAACTGAGTACCAGTTATTTGTAACACATATCATTTTGTAATTAGACTTTAGTTATAAAATTACTTTGATTATACTTATGAATTAACTGATGATTACAATAATACTCAGTGTTTATTACTTGAGGATATCCAGCTGTTTTAAGCTGGCACCAAAGTAGTAAAGCATCTCTTGCATGTCTAACTTCACCAGTTTCATCTGATTCTTTGACAACGATATCCTGAACCTAAAACAGATTATAATAAATCACAGAATGAAAGTTATTCATAATAATTATAGATTACATGAGATAAATAGAAAAATGAAGAAGTAGATTATTGAATATGGTGTACTATATAAACTTTCGCTTATGGTTTTTTTCATGAATCTTATCACACTTATTTATAACTATAAGTTGAATAAATTCACTTGGTATTGTTTACTTGAATCTTCCCACTGATGAATAGTACTGCAATTGATCAGTCTGTTAGTGGCATATGTGCATACTGTGTGTATTGCCTTGATTCATATGCATTATTAGCAAAGATGGATAGCGGCTAGTAGTGGAATCAAGGACGGGTGTTTCGTCTTATTTGGGACTTGTCTGATGAATGTCCCAAATAGAACAATCATTGTGCATTTGCAGATATTCTCTTAGTAGATGTGTAGACTCCTTTTTTGTTCCCCAAAAAACAAAAATGCTTATTCGTTTAACTTGTAGCGTGGTGTCCAGTCCCAGTTGACTATGACCACCACTACAAAGAAACATGTGCCAAATAAATCAGAAGGCAAATGCGGATTAGAACCAAGTTTATTTCGTTGGCGATCTCGTGGTATCGAACAAATATCGAGGTCGTGCCAAGAAAAGGTACAAGCGGAATGGGAAGGAGAAAGTACGTGAGAAGGAGGTCACGAACCGTGAAACGGTAATGGAGAGGAATGGAAGCACAAAATGTCTGTCATTAGCACAGTTAAACAAAAGCACATTAAAACAAGCACAAGTAAAATTGGTTATAATAATAATTGTTTTCATTAAACCAATCGCGTTCTCATGATAAAAGTAAGTCACTACAAACTGATTTCAGAAAATAGTCAATGTAAAGATTATTTTTCACCGTGTAATTCTGTTTTACATCTACTGAGGTTGACTAACAGGAGTCAGTTTTCATTTTTCGGTTCCTCAAATTGCACATTTTCAAGTTAATGCAATAGGAGCCAAAACATGTACATAAAACGTCATTGTAATTTTAGCAGTCCACTATCCCGTAACTCACCTGGTCATTGGCGTGCCAAAATCTTTCAAGAGCATCAATGTCCAAGATGATGATCGATATATTTTGAATTTTATAGTAGATAAATATAGACAATATTTAATCGTACCAAGTGACTAAGTGATAACTACTCATGTGATTTAAAAACTAACAAAAACTCAGGATAGAACATTCACAAGACAACAAATTTAGCTAGCAAAATCACTTTTTCTTGTTGGCAGTTATATACTTTTACATGGATTTCAGAAGCGAAAATTTACGCACTTAAATGTCATAAACATTTGATAGATATCAGTCAATCGATCACTCACTTGGCAATGGAATAAGACCTGACCCCTCACCTTTGTTCCTGCCCAACATATCAGGCAGATATGTAAGTAAATTATACCCATAAAAAAGACGTGTTATCCTCACTGACAACAAGAAAATGATCTAAGATGGTGGAATGCAACACACCATATAAACAATTAATGCAACTCAACATTTCATTATGACATAAACATACAGTCTTTCAAAATTGACTTGCCTGGTAATGTAATATAATTGTCCATATTAGACCTAATGTAATTCTTGGGTTACCATCGACAATATCTTGTGCACCGATATTTTCAAGATGTGCTCCTTCTTCATAAAGAAAATCAAGTGCTTTATTGATATTCTCCAATTGATGAATTCGCATTCTGCTATGATTAATTCTTGTCTGTAATAAAAAGTCAATTATTGTAAAATCATCAGTCCGTAGTTTATAAATCGGTAGTAAATGTTTGCAACAGTTTTGTTTCTCAGGTAAGGGATACACGATTTTCAACTGCATTAGCCGTTGAAGATTAGATTATCGTTATTGCTACAGTTAAAACCTCAGTATATCACAATAGATGACACAATAAGTCATAAAGGTATCCTTCATCACATATTAGCTGACTAGAAGAAATAGTGCTACATTTTCGATTTTAGTAACTGGTTAGCGTTCAGGGAAGCATTTAACAAACCCATGATAAAAATCAAATGAAACCATAATTATTAAATTGTGGTTGGTTAGATATTTGAGAAAAAGCGTTAAGGTATTGCACTTTATGAGGACAGGAACATACATCTCACACACCACTCTAGATTCAACTTCACCGAAAATATATAGTGCCCATAACGATGTTGCTAAGCTCCTCTTCAAGGAACTATAACTGAACAATTCTAACTTTAGTCAATCTTTATCTGTAGACTATAAGCCTAATCAAATCGCTGATAACGTAGTACTTTTAAACGTCTTTATTAAGTAAAAGTACACCGAACGTTATGTAAAAGCTAACCACTGCTTCATCCCGTTCCCTGGGCTCTTCAGAACCGTACAGTTGTATATGGGATTAGTTGGGACAGCATCTAAAATTAGTATCAGGAAGGGTTTTGTGGAGATTGTAGTAATAAGATAATCAGTTTTGCATTAATAGTAATTATATTAAATACTAGTAGTACAATATTATTTACTACATACTGTACCCAATACAATCCATTGTAAATAGTAATTTAAAGATATTCAGCATTTATCTAAAATATAGCCGGATAAAGCAATTATGATTTCTGTTTCTTTAACTTGTATTTATTTACATGGATAAACTAGAAATTTGGATACATATTTCGATCAGGAAGAAACGCTGGAAGTGGATAGGACACACGTTGAGGAAAGCACTCAACTGCGTCACAAGACAAGCCCTCACATGGAATCCTCAAGGCGAAAGGAAAAGAAGAAGACCAAAGAACGCATTACGCCGAGAAGTGGAAATAGACATAAAAAAATGAACAAGATTCGGATGGAACTAGAAAAGAAGGCGGAGGACAGAGTGTGTTGGAGAATGCTGGTCGGTGGCCTATACTCCATTGGGAGTAACAGGCGTAAGTAATATATATATATATATATATATATATATATATATATATATATATATATAACGTTTTCACTTGTTGACATCCCATCAATTAGCTTTATTTCAAATAATCATTAACTCCACCTGGAGTCCCTACAGGAGCTACTGTCAGTCCCTAGACCGGATAAACGAGGAGGATTGGGCATGGGGTTAGCGACCCCATCCTGTAGAAAACTAACTCACTAGGAAAAAATGCTCACCAGAAAAAATTATTCAAACCAAATAATCATTGATTCTCAGTTAGAAGAAATAATCTACAGAAATATTTTAGAATTTTGAACTTTTTCATTTCAAAATATTGATCATTCACATAGTCGAACTTTCTTAGTTTAGCTTAGAAACAATATTTTGTATAGTTACAACTTTTGAACATGATAAAGAAGATTTGTAGCTCATTTGAATGATTTTGATGAAGTTTTATTCTTTAAGTTGGATGATTTGGTTGTGGAAATTTCATTATTCTATTGAAGACATTATCAGTACAAACGTCAGGTAGAATAAAATCAATAATGATTTAACTATTTTGCATCGGTAAAATATATAGCAACCATTTCTTATATTAAATTGTAATTATACTTAAAATCATTTGATAAAGTGTATCAATCAATTTATGGAAAACAATAAATACCAATAAAACTAATCAGTTTAATGTATAATTCACAAATCTATTTAACATAAATGGTTTTGACAGATTAGATGACTTTTATTTTCTAATATTAAGTTTTCTATTCCGTTTTATTTATTGATTTGACAAGTTCATAAAGCCATTCACTTCACTGTTTTTTTTCATTCTGTGGTGGTCGATATGAGATATAATCCTTAAACGTCGTATACAGTTCGTCTAGATAATCGTCTTATATAACGCCCCAATGGTATATTAATCAGAAGGCGAATACGAAGCGTTGATTACGTTTATTACGGGACCACACACACAGATATTCAAATTTACAGATGCGATAAAACAAGAATAGAAGAGTTGTGCCGAAAGGCAAGCAGTCGAGTACAATCAAGCAAGCGAGAGCAATGAATATGAATAACGTGGACACTATATATACATAGTGAAATGAATGGGTCATCGAATCATATAAGTGGTTAGTAGTAAGGTTAGCATAGTGAATAAGTGCGAGGGCCGTAACCAATATTCAAGCATACATCATCATACATTCGCAATAGTAATAAAGATACAATGATATAGATAAATTGTTGTTAAGATGATTCCGTTCGCTAATAAGTTAATAAAATAACTTGATTGAATTAATTGTGAACAAACTCAATTTCACATGATCTATTATAATACTTCAAGTATATTGATGAATCCTCATACATAGAATCTACAATCTCACCTCTTTATATACTTAGAAAACTTGTATTCATTTAACACTTGGAAATATGTCAACAGATATTGTATACACTCTCTGTCGTCCCTTAAACGAAGAGATTAAAATCACTTCGTATCTTTCTTTCTACGAACTAATTCTTTCTTCCTGTACTATATCCTTATTGCAATCTTTCTTTTATATATCACTACCACCTTTGAATTAACTACTTTAATGAATCCGGTGTTCATCTTGCTGTGTTAATGCGGTATGGCAACCTGGACCGATGCATATATGTGCCTGGTCCTACGTTGTAGCTGACTGATATCATTTGTACTAATTCGTTTCCTTCTTTTACTCTACTCAGTAGACTAATAAATCTCTAGTTATTATCATTTTAAGTTATATCTCATTTTCACTGCCAATCTAATTACATTAATTAACAATGAAATATGCCCAGCAAATTGGTTTAGCAAGTATAATTTAATAATAAAGTAAAACGAGGTTAACTTATTGTATAAGTGAATGTATCTATTCTTATAAAACATGAATTCAGCCTACTTATACTATAATCTGCAACTACCTTAGAGTTGAGCTGATTAAAAGGTTGATAAGAAGCAATATGAAATGAATAAATGTTTATTATTACTTTCATTTTCAGTCATATCAAGATGAAATCTAACTGCATAAAAATATCTTAGATATTTTAATACTTATGTTATCCTGCTCACTAGTGACTGACTTCATCAGATACTCCTGGAGTTCTAGTGAGAAGTTGTTACCAGTGGAGTTCAACTAGGTCTGTTGTGAGATAGGAACTCATTGAAGACAATCGTGTATGGTGGCGCAACTTCGTGGATTGATTGAAGTTAGACATTAACACTGTTGGATGCCGACTCAGTGGTCTAATAGTTAAGTGCTCGCGCGTAAAACCAGTAGGTCCTGGGCTCGAACCCCACGGGGTGCGCGGTCGTGATGTGCACTGCTGAGGAGTCCCACACTAGGACGAAATGGCCTGTTCAGTGCTTCCATGTTTTCAATGGTGTTCTAGCTTCAACTGACTCATGATTTCAACCTGTGACATTAAAATTATGTCTATATACATATACTGACCTTTAAAAGCAGTAAATGGTATGCGACGATTATATTTTCATTTCATGTCCAAAACCATATGCACAGTTAACTATTTGCTTAACTTTTAAGATCTACTGTAATAACTTATACAAGTAAAAATTCAGTGTGTAGATTTTTTTTGTGTTTCTTAAGATTTACTAAAGAATCAAAGATTGTTATTAGTAAATTCATCATCATCATTAAAATATTTACCTTTTAGATGACTAATAATTCAATATTGGAGAAGTTTGAATACTTATCTTCAAGTAGTTCTTCGGCTTTGTTGACATATTCTTCTTTGTTGATGACTACTGTGGCGCGTCCTTTGTCCTCTGGTATTATGACAATATCCTTTGTATACCTGAGTTCCTTCAAAGCCTTTTGTTCTAGTGGAGTCAGCTGGTTGTTTTCCTTCACCTGTTGAGTTAGCGGTACTATAGTTTGTCTTATTTCCTGTTGTGCTTCTTCACTGATTCCGCAAGTTTTGACTGATGACTCTAGTGCTGCGAAGAATTCCAGCCCTGAGGCGTCGCTTGTATTGTAGTTTAATCCTTTTTGGAGTAGGTGTTCTTCCTTATTTGTTAGAGGTTGTTTTGACAGATTGATCACGCAGTTGTTTGTGTTTTCTTCCATGGGTGGTTTTGAGATCTTGATTAGTTTTTTCTTTAAGGTGTTTTTTCTTTGTTCTCTATGTCGTTTGCTTGATATCTCGATGGCTGTTTTTAAGATTTCCAAATGTTCTGACGTGATTATCCTTTGTAGCTTCATCTTTCAGTCCTCTATGACGTGTTAGTATTTTCGGATCCTGTAGTGTGCATCCGTTATCATTAGGTGTACCATTTTTCTTCCACTTTGCTCAGCTATTTTCCATTCTAATGGGCAATTGATTGGAGGTCTATATTTTACACTTGTTGGCATAACAAATCACATCCTACTATCAAAGTCACTAAATTTCGATTGAATTTCATATACACCATCAGCTAATTAGAAATGGCTCATTTTATCTTCACACATGCCTAAACGAAATAATCCCTTCTATTCCCTGCCATTGTCACTTACTATAGATACTTTTGTAATACATTAGTCAGAGTTTTACAGGTTTCATTCACATATTTAGATCTCAAAATGAATAGTTTCTTGGGTTTTTCTTCATTTCTATATGTGCTGATCTGTTTTCATGTGTTACCAATTCTTACCTCTTAAAACTACTAATCACTTATAAATATATATTCGACCATTTTGTTTCAAAAGGGACAATATAATGGTGGTTCATATGACCATATAGCTCAAACTTTTTTATCACACAGCTATACATAAGCATTTGAGGATCTGACTGTAATCCTACAGTATAGTAACTGTCAAAAGTTTTAAAAAAAAATAAAAGTCAACTTAATTATCTCCTTATGTATAGGATGAACTTGCTCCTCTAGAATAGTTTACAGTGATTACAGTTTATCTATCAATTGTGTCTTGAATCTTTTAACAAGACGTATTTTCGAAAATATGACTCCTTGAATAGATTGATTTCCTACGAACAGATTGAAATGATTGAATAAATCCACAAAATGATAAGTAAGAACAACACATCTAAGCGAACAATATTGTTTTCAATTAGACTGTCATCAGGCCTTTACTCTAATATATATGAATATTGATACGAAAATGTTGAAAGCAATCAAGGCAATATGGGTCAATAAGCACAATGGAATAGAATAGGTCACCACACATAATAGGTAAAAGTACTAGTTGATAGTAGTAGGAAGAAAGGTGAACTGATAGTGGTAAGAATAATAAAATACTATGACAAAAGTCTTATGACTAGTTAAACGTTGGAAATAAAAGGTCAAACAAACGTGGGTAAATAGACTTGGAATAGTCAACAACAAAACATTCAAATCATTACGTAATAAGAAGTGTGTAAATAATTAGATAGTGAAGAACACAAACGGCAGGAGGCGGAAAATTACAAACAAATACAGGATGTGGAAATAACGGCCATGGAAGGGATAGGGGGGTTACGAATTTATTCTGTACACATGAATTGGGGTTATATATACGAGTTCCTATGGACTCAGCTATATGTAGGAGGCGGGAGCAAACCCCGTTGGGAAATGATGGAGGTATACGATAGATCAGTTGAAATGATTTCGATTTATCTACAGCATGACCGCTATCAATGAGATGTGCCAAGATAGAACTGAGAATTGTTTTTATCTGACCCTTTATAAACCACGCTAGTAGATGTTCATTCATTCGTTGGTTAAGTTGTCTGGTAGTACGCCCGATATAGCTATCTCCACAGGAGCAGTTGAATTTGTAAATGCACATTGAAGAGGCCAACTCAGGCAACTTATCCTTCGTTTGAGTAGACATTGCTGGTCGACAAGAGAAAGCCAACGCAAGATTGGCTGCGTAGAATGTCCTGATGATTAATTTCGTTAACCTATATTTCAGAGTATCACTGGCCACATCTCCGTTGAATTATAGTTTCATATATAAAATTTTCTTATTAACAATCGAAATCTCCGACTTCTTTATTATGCTGTACATGTACTTCTTAATGAAAGCACTGGGGTAGCCAATCTCAGTCAGTGAGTTGTTGATGAATTCAAGCTCCCGAGTTAGAGTGTCTACTGTGCAGATCTTTTTTTAGTACATTTGAACCACAATTTCAATAAAGCGAATTCCATTAATTTAAAACCATTCTTATGATATTCTAATTATGTAATCAAAGTTCAATTGATCACTTAGTTTATTCTAAATTCCTTAATGATACATCAAATTATGTTTAATTTTTATTATAGAAAAACTTTAAGTCAATCTATCCAATATTTCAGAAATGTAACAATGATCTTCAGTACTTTTTCTCCTATTCGATTATATAACACACAAAATAATCGATAATTGTTATCTATCCATCGTTATTTCAATGATCAGTGATCTGGATTCTCATATCATCATATCAAAATGATCCTTCAAATGATATTTTTATTTCTATCATGAATATCATGCTTGTTTGAAAGAAGAATTTGTACATCATTCTTTTTATTAGAAAAAATGGAATGATGTGTCACGGCCAAAAAAAATGTATCATTATCAATGTATTGGAACTTACAAATTGTCTTCCTGAAAGTAATTCTAATAAACGTAGTAAAATTCTTCCATCACGTAAATCGTTATATAGTTCTTTCACTAAATAAGTATGTCCAATAGCATAGGATCTATGTGTAGATGATGATACTTCCCATGATGGTGAATGTGTTAATCTATTCATTGAACTATTATGATATGCCCAACTATTATGTAGATCATTTGGATAAGATAGATAATTGAGAAATTCCGATGAATAGACTCCATCTAATTGAGCATTAATCCAGTTGGTAAACAAACATTTTTGTATATGATCACGTTCATCTATGTAGTTAAAATTGATTAAATTTGTACAATTCAATAGATTGAACAAATCAAGTTAAATACCAAAGAATAATTGTTGAAACGCATAACAATAATCCCTTATTGTTACTGAAAAGAAAATCACCTTACCTCTACACACAATTCTTTTCTGATTAGCGTTTTTTTAGCGAGTTAGTTTTCTACGGGATGGGGACGCTAACCCCATGCCAAACGCTCTTCCATTATCCGGGCTTGGGACCGGCAGTAGCCACAGGAGGGACTCCAGGCGGAGTTTCCTCTCCACACATAGTTTAAAGTATTGCTTGCACTACATGTATGCTAAGTATGAAATCGAGTCAAAATGCATGTTTTAATATCTATCACTACTGACTTTGATATGTAATTGAATAAATAACATGTAAACAAATCGGTTGACTTTCTATTCATTTTTGTAACAAGATTCATAACTGGATTTCACATTCTTCTCAGCACTAAAAAGTTGATATTACATCTAAGATCATATAATATTGGAATTGTTTGAAAAGCTAGAAAATAGCTGAATTGATTTCCCATATTACAAGTTCAAGAACACATTTCATCATGGTCAAGAAATGGAGCCGCCAAACTTAACAAGTAAAGACATCCTTCCTCATCTCAAAGATAAAACATCACTGTGTAAAAAAGGTGTTATAGCCATGCGAAACCTGTACTGCTACAGGAAATCATAAGATTCTCACAATGCAATTTAAAAACTAAAGGCAATTCTAGGAGCCAATTTTACTGACTCTTCGGAGATCAATATGACCCAGTGATCGAAACGTATTTACTTATATGATTTTACTGACATCTGCTGATGATTAGTGAAAGAAAAAAACAAACAAAATGTACTAGAATTTAAAAAAAAGTTAACCTTAAACTAGAAATTGTTCAGCTGATATATTTTGACGATGAATAACTATCTGGACTGAGTAACAAAGTGGATAGCAAGTTAGTATCAAACACAACACACTGTATTCAGGTCTCTGAGTGAAAAGCAACACTGAGATACAAGCATATCTAGCTGATGATTCTCAAACAAGACAAAACAGGCATTATACATTCCGATAGTAAGCACTATCCATTTCTGCTTGAAAAAAATGCTTAGCACTGATAGCAATACTAAACCAATCCGTTCTTGTTAGATAGATAGATAGATACTAAAAGGACTGACTGATTGTAGTCTGGATAACTAAATAATTACTATTATTATTATATTTATTTATTACTTATTTATTTATTTAACACATAGATATTGATACAAGGAGGCACCAAATACATATGCGCCACACAAATCTCATTCGATATATGTGAGGGTTGTGATATTGCCCAGGTGCTCAAACCAAAGCAGGTGATTTTCTAAGAAGGCCACACCCCGAGCCCTCAAACTGAAGGTCTGATCCACAAGGCAGTGGAACATCGTGAGGAGATGCAGTCCCATGGAAGCCGGTGACAAACAATCGGTTCACACACCATTTGTTCCCACAGGATACTGGAGCCCATGTGCACCATTGATTTGGAATCCGATTAAAGCGCTGGACATTCGCCTTTCGTCCTCTCATTTTCGTAAACAACAGTAATGCCATGAGAAGGTAGTGAGTAGGATTTCCCTGGCAGAGGGGCTATATACGCGTGGCCATATGAGAGCATTTGGAGAGGGAGAGCGGACGCTCCCCACTCTCGGCTGTACCAGAGCATGTGGGGGCATTATTATATCATCATAATAAATGAAGGTACAATAATCTATACCATCAGAATTTCATATTCAATTGCTTTTGTAATCTAAACAATTAAAAATTTCCGAAAAAAAAGATAAAAATTTTAACGTTTTTAATCGAATTATTAGATTGTAGAAAAACAACAACGACAACGACAACACTGTTCTTTATGTTTACTAATAAACAATGAACTCAAAAAGAAGAAAAAAAAGGGTATATAAACCTGTTATGTTCAGACAGTAAGTAAGTAACACATGAATTTCACACATATAAATAATAAACATCATAAATGCATTTTGAAAAAGAGAGAAAAAAAGAAGAAAAAAAGAAAAAAAGAAAAACCTACGACATACACACAAACGACAAGGATTCAAGCTGCTTAATTTGTAACAAAAATGAAAAGAAAAAAAGGAAGAAAAAAAGAGAAAAGGAAAAAAAGAGAAAAGATTGGCAAATTGAATTAAATTGAAACGATGAAACAATGAAAATTAATTATTTGATAAATACAAAAAGAAAATTTATTACTTTTATTGAAAATAAAATAAAAATTCAAAAGAAGATTCCCTATTTGACTTAAATACCTTTTTGTTTCACAAGTTCAAATCATGAGTCAATTGAAGCTAGACCAACATGGAAAACCCTGGAAGCAATGGAAGGCCGTTTCGTCCTACTGTGGGACTCCTCAGTGGCAGTGCGCATCCACGATCCTGCATCCCGCGGCATTCGAGCCCAGGTCCTATCAGTTTCACACCAGGCGCTCAACCAACTAGACCATTGAGCTGGCCGGAATCCAATAGTGTTAATGTCTAACTTCAACCAATCCACCAAGTTGTGCCACCGTACACCATTGTCTTCAATGAGTTCCTATCTCACAACAGACCTAGTTGAACTCCACTGGTAACAACTTCTCACTAGAACTCCAGGAGTATCTGTTGAAGTCAGTCACTAGTAAGCAGTTGTTTATTATCAGAATGGGTTTTGTGGAAATTTTCTAGAAATTTCACAAGTTGTTTGCCAAATAAATTCATTGTTACGTTGTTACTAATTGTATTAACATTTCTCACAGAGAGAGAGAGAGAGAGAGATAAATATTTTTTTCTTCAAATCAGTTAATTCAGATTCATCTAATTCATTTACAATTGATTAATCACGGGGTGGTGATCCATGTAAGGTGTATTTTTTTAGTTCAGATAGAATCCTATTGACCAAGTTGCAATGGGACCGGTAGTCTAGGTGAAGGAATCAAATCCGTCAAGGGGCATCAACTTCTTCAAGATTACAGATACACCTTGCTGACGAGTGCCAAGTAACACAAAATCTAAGTTCAGTGTTTCTTATTGACTACCTTCAACCACCTTCTAATCTAATTCATTCAACATATTGAGAAGTAAAAAATGATAACAGATAAATAAATAAACAAAATGAAAACTATTTTTTTCCACTACTTATTTTGTATTTGTAAGCAACTCATCATTGATTGTCAGAAATAAATTATTATGTTCAATGTTCAACTGTCTTATCGTTTATGTCAGTTAACTTGAAAACAATCTCAGATCGAAACTATATAGCTACACTTTCAATAGAATAATTCAATTAGGATATTTTCAGACAATCAATTTAATGTACAGTTTATATTCCTTAGATATTACATCTGTTAAGAAGTCAATGTAGCACAGTGAATATTAGACAATTGTTTCACATTAGATCTACTTAGAACATTATTAGGTAATATATCTAAACGTATCTGTTATCCATTGTTTTGTAAGAAATCTCCTAGTAGGTAAAACAACAATTTAATGTTAAGATGTTTAAAAGAAATTATGTTTCATTCTCCAAAAACTATAGAGTTTAATTTCTCAAAGTATCTGCATAATTTTTTTGAATTATGAATTGGTGTCAGTCAGTCACCTATAACGTAGGACCAGGCACATATGTGCATCGGTCCAGGTTACCATACTGCATCAGCACAACAAGATGAACACCGGATTCATAGCAGTGGTTAGGTCAAAGGTGGTAATATATAAGAGAAAGATTGCATATAGAGATATAGTACAAGAAGAAAGAATTGGTTCGTAGAAAGAAAGATATGAAGTGATTTTAATCTCTTAGTTTAAGGGAACACAGAGAGTGTATACACCGACGCCATTGTGATCGATTCTGAGCCATGTCACCAACAGTCTCCAACCATTGGTTACGTTAGTCACGCGGACCCCAACCAAATAGTCTGCATCTACCAACATGGCTCAGACTAGAAGTTAGTGACTTCAAGTACTGATACCACGTTCTAGTTTGGCCACCCCTAACTTTCTTCCAACCATCTCTAACACCGGTTAGCATTGCACGTTGTGGTAATCGGTGTTCAGGCATACGTAACACGTGGCCCAACCATCTCAGTCGATGAAGATTCACAACTTCATCAACTGATTTACCATCATTCCCTAATACTCTGAGTCTAACCTCACTATTACTTACCCGGTGATCCCAGCAGATGCCAACAATATTTCTAAGGCATCTGTGGTCAAATACTAATAGCTTACGAGTGTCTCCTACTCCTAATGACCATGTTTCGCAGCCGTAAAGTAAAACAGAACGAACTGCCGCGCAGTGTACTCGTCCTTTTATTGATAGACGGATATCTCGCCTTCGCCAAAGGTAACGCAAGTTGGCAAAAGCCGAGCGAGCTTTTCGAATCCGTTCTGAGATTTCGTCGGACACCAACCCATTAGGGCTGATCAGACTTCCAAGATAAGTGAAGTTGTCAACGAGTTCGACTACTTCACTCCCTATCCTTAGTTGAGGTGTTGACGCAGACTAGTCTTGAAGCAACAACTTGCATTTCGAGGAAGAGAAGCGCATTCCAAACATTCTGGCATTGTTGCTTAGTGCTACCAAAAGACTCTGCATTTTGTCAGCCTCTTCACCACACAGGACTATGTCATCTGTGTTGAAAGCACGTTGAAAGCACTGGTTCTCCTCCGATGAATTGGTGTACCTCGCATTTATTGAATGAGACTGTCTAATTGTGAAGTACGTTATGTATTTCCAAATAAACTTAATCGGATCAAAGAAATATGACCTATTTCATAATTGAGCATTTGAATAACTGAAATAATCAATTATGAATGATTAGTGAAATAGTCAGATATGTTCATTACAAAACTTTAATTAATCTTTATAACTGTATACGAAGTAGTTTCCTCTCAATTACACAGAGATGAAATTAAATACCAACCTAAACATTGGGATGAGGGTGCTTTGTCAATGTAG